GAGTCACCAGATTAAAGTAGGTCTTTTTGAAAGACATCCAAACTCAATTGATAGACTCCAATAAATGGAAAATTGACAATGTTAGTCAGTATTTTTTTATGAATAATAACCCTTTCAGTTAAAAGGCAGAACAGTGACCCATCTTAATAATTATTGTTGCTCCTGTTTATTTGATGTAATGTAACAGACACCTAGTCTGAAAGTACCTGTTCTGCCATTTGTATGAAAACATAGCAAAAGGAGAAACATAACTAAAGTACCATTTAATTTTTATGTGGGGTTATAAATTAGATGTTAAGAAAGTCCATGACTACTGGTACAAGGACCTAAAAGAAATTTCCCTATTTTGTTTTTTCATGTGTATCTGCTTGGTCAAACTTTGGTTTCAATAATTCTGCACTCTTGAAAATACATAAATCCATAAAATTATCACTTGTAATCATTAACACTAATGGTGGAGAGGTGCCCAGGGTGAGGGAGGGAGTGGGGTGGGGTTGGTGGCTGGGGCTCTACCCAGCTGGTGCAGAAATGTACAGCCATAGGGCCCAGTCCGGGAGCAGGATGGAGCTATAGGCAGCTCATCTAGGGAGTAGCAGGGAGGTTGCTACTGCATGTAGTGCCCTGCCACTGCATGCACTCCTGGGGAGGGGAGCATGGGGGGGCATGTGTCCCCCCAGATTTGTGTGTGGGGCATCAGTGAATGTGGGCTGGCCACTGCATGCTGCCCTCCCACAAGGGCTCAGTATCCCACTTTTGCATTTTGAAAAGGTGGCCACCTTACCTCTGCATCTCAGTTTCCCCACCTGTAATGATTTCCCCTATTTTACAAGGAAATCACAAGGATGAAGAAGCTGTAGAGGATGAAGCACTTGGAGAATCTGGTGACAGGGAACATATTAGTCAGTAGAAGAGGAGATTTCATTTAGTATAAGTGTGAGTGGGACTAACATAGCCCAATCATCATGACAAGCTAAGAGTGGTACAAACTGAACTTTGCTCTGCTGCTAGCACATGGAAATCTGCAGACCTAAAGCTCTCACTGATGGAGGGGAGGGGAGATGTAGCTTTACATTTAACAAGTAAAAAATATTTTTTCAAATGATAAGAGAATTTTATTTCCTTCATAAATATCTTTGTTATGTTTCAAGATAAAAGTAATATGTTTTAAAAAATAGAATAAAAATAAGTTTTAAAGAAAAAATAATATACAGTAAACATGGTGTGGCAGCGAGAAGCCCCCACAGGCTTTTGAAGGGGATGGGGCAGACCCCACAGGCTACAAGCTGCACAGGCAGGCCCCACCGCCAGAGGGAAACTTACCTTCGGGAGCAGAGCCAGAGCAGGAGCCATGGCTGTGGCCACGCAAGCCAATGTTACGCTGGCAGGGAACAGCTGAACCAATCATGGCGGCCCGAACAGCCACCGCAGGAAGATTCAAAAGCCCCACCAGAAGCCGGCTGGGGGAGAGAGGAGAGGGAGCATGCCAGTGGGGAACACACCTCGCCTCGTGAAGCTCTGATGGCCGAGAGGAGCATTGTAGCCGGCTTGGGACCGGCATCAGACCAGGAGGGAGAAACCAGGTCCATTTCCCCCCCGCCCCGGTCCCAGCATCTAATTTCTAAGAGATTCATTAGAGGTGTTCCTCCCAGAAGTGAGGAGGAGGACACCAGAAGAAAAGAAAAGAAAAAAAAAAAGGAAACCAAAGCCTAGCTTGGCCACAATCTAGGCTGAGATTCCAGCTGCCCTAACAGCCGAGCTAGCCCATAGGAATTTCCGCTGATGCCAGTCCCCCAGGAAAATCAGGACTTACCGGGCATGGCTGGGCAACACAGGCTGCCAGGCTGGACAACGCAGGCTGCACCAATCAGTTGGTGAGTGGATGGGGTGTAGGGGCGGCAGACCCCCGTGGAACATCGCATCAAGACTGTGAGTACTACCATCCCTGGGGTCCCCCAGGAAGAGGATCTGCACTGAACCCCTCCTTTCATTCAATAACACCAAGACATGGCAGGAGAGTTGAGGGGAGGGGCCTCATGCCGGACGGATGGTACAGCACCTGAAGTACCCCCCACCTTAGGCACTTCCACAGTGGTGCATTAGTCGGGAACTTATTTTGGCGTGTTGGTATTAACAGGATAGAAATCCCGACTCGGGTCAAGCAGACATGCAGCTGCTGGCATTAGCCCATGTGGAGCTACTAATGCAGGCCATCCAAGCCATAGAGCAGGTATTAAAGGTACAGCAGATACAGGGGGCACATCAGCAGAAATGGATGCAGCAGAATGCTGCCCTATTTAAGATGCTGTGAATGATGTGGGAAGACAATCATGAGGCCTTTATAGAGGCATTTGAGAGGACCGCCATTCAGACAGGGTTAGATCGCAGTCCGTGGGCCCACCAGCTGGGTGCCCTGGTGATTGACCAGGCCCAAGCTGCTTATCAGGCCCTGTCAAGAGAAGATGCCTGAGATTATGATACCATGAAGGCGGTGATCCTCTACAGGCTCGAGATTTCCCTAGAGAGCTACAGACAGACATTCTGAGCTCGAAAGCCAAAAGTGGTCAAGCGGCCTCGTAGTTTGCTGCAGTACTTGTGGGATGTGCTTAATAAATGGCTACCTGCAGGCCGGTTTGACAGGGAGGGGGTCATTGACCAAGTCTTATTGGAGCAATTCCTCTGGGACCTGGAGGAAGACACCCAGGCGTGGGTGCAGAGACACCAACCTTGGACCAGTGAGGAAGCCCTCTGCCTGGCCGAGGCCTTTGCCAGCTTGGAAAATGAGTGCGGGCATGGGTGAGGTTCCCAGGCCCCAATGGGGAGCACTGCCAGAGAAGAAGAAAGGCAAATGGGTCCACTGAAGGGGATGTTGCGGGGTGTTGCTTGCTACCATTGTGGATGAACCAGGCATATCGCCAGGGAATGTGGCCTGGGCTTGAGCAAACTGGGGCGTGAGCTGACTACATCCACCCCACCCTGCAAGCGGGGAAAGGAGGCTGAGAGGGGGGAGCCCGTGGACTGTAGCTTTGGGTCCATCGCACATGAAGGAGGATGGGACTGTCCCATCATGACTGCGTGGATAGGGGATAAGGCAGTAAGGGCAACCCTAGACACGGGATGCTCCCAGTCCCTACTCTGAGTGGATCTAGCCCCACAGACTGGAGTAAAGGAAGCCGGACCCTTGACGATGACTTGCATATTGGGTGGCGAGATGCATTTCTGGAGCTGCTACCTTCCCTTGAAGGTGATGGAGTTCCAAGGGGAACTATGGGTCAGGTTGGCTCCAGCCTTAGCCTCCGAGATGATCCTCAGATGAGAATGGGGAGCGTTCTACATGGTACTGGAACAGGTACAAGCAACTGAGGAGGAGAGGAAGTGGCTCAGAAGCGGGGAGGCCTGGGCTGGTGAAAGTCCACCTCACCAGAGGGAAGTAGCCTGAAACAGTATTGATCTGGAGCAGGTGGCAAGCGTGATGCAGTTTTGCCAGGCTCAATGAGAAGATCTGGAGCTCCAATGGCTTGGGACAGAAGACCCCAGGGAGGGAACATTCCAGAGTCACTCCAGCTTAGAGGTAATGGGGGGGCTGCTATATCGGCTCCAAAGGGGTGAGGAGGGCACAACAGAAAGGCAGCAGTTAGTCGTCCTGTCCTTGCTCCACCAATCTATTTGGAGATTGGCCCATAACTCCCCGCTAGGGGGTCATTTAGGACGTACCAAGACCCAGGCTAGGCTAGCCCGAGAATTCTTCTGGCCATGTCTGCAGAAAGACGTGGAGAGATGGGGGGCAGCTTGCCCAGAATGCCAGAGGGCCCAGGAATGGAGGCCACAGAGGGCACCATTGTGCCCAATGCCGGTAATAGAGATGCCATTCTCCCGTGTCATGCTCAACATTGTGGGTCCCATTCCAAACACACGGTGGCTACCAATATGTATTGGTTTTAGTGAACTATGACACAAGGTTCCCAGAGGCGATCCCACTTAGATCTATTACGGCAACTCGTGTAGCGGAGGAGCTACTCAAATGGATTGCTAGGGTAGGCATACCACGTGAGATACTCACCGACCAGGGGATGAATTTCATGTCTGGGGTGATGAAGGCTCTTTGTAATACCCTCGGCATCACCCACTTAAAAACATCGGTTTATCACCCCCAGACGAACGGCTTAGTCGAAAGCCTAAATGGGATGATCAAAAGGTTGCTCAGGCAGTGTTCACAGGAGGACCCCCAAAGATGGGATACCATATTAACGCCGTTACTGTTTGCCCTAAGGGACGCCCCCGCAAGAGTTGACTCTGTACTCCCCATTCCAGCTAGTATATGGCCACAGCCCCAGGGGGCTGTTATAGATCATCCTGGAGGAATGGGAGAGGCCAGTAGGGTTAGGAATATCAGCGGAGAGATACCGGCAGGAACTGTAGGACCAGATCAACAAGGCTTAGCGGAGAGCTTGCCAAAACCTGAGAGCCATACAATAACAACAGGAGACCCAGTATAATAAAAAGACAAAAACCTGAACATTCCATCCAGGGGGTATGGTCTTGGTCTTGCTTCCCGCGTCAGCGAGTAAACACCTCATGATGTGGCAAGGTCATTTAGTGTGGTCCATCAAGTAGGACCGGTGGATTATGAAGTGCTCAAACCGGGACACCGCTGCAAGCATCAAATATACCATGTAAACCTCCTTAAGGAGTGGAAGGCCTCACAGGGCTGGCTAGAGGAGGCGGTAGAAGAACTTGGACCTCTCTGCCTAGAATTAGGGGAATCCATAACGAAGGATTCAGTGCTATTAGGAGAAGATCTGAATATCAAGCAACGACAGGAACTGATGAAAGTAATAGAGGCCTTCTGGGAAGTGTTCCAGATGTGGAAACAGGGAATTATCTGGCCATCCTGAAGCCCTTGGCATAGCCCCATTGTACTGGTGGTCAAACCAGACAGGTCACTCTGCTTGTGCATAGTCTTCAGAAAGTTGAATGCTTTAGCGACCTTTGACGCCTTCCCCATGCCGCACATTGCCCACCTCATTGAGAGAATCAGGGAAGCCCAATACATATCTACCATCGACCTTACCAAAAGGTACTGGCAAATCCCAATGCGACCCACAGACAGTGCCAAAACCGCTTTTGGGATGCCGTGGAGCTTGTTAGAATTTGTACAGATGCCCTTTGGGCTGAATGGCACAGCGGCCACCTTTCAGAGGCTTATGGACACCCTCCTTGCACCACACGTGTCATATGCGGCAGCCTATATCAATGACATCATCATCTTCACTCCTGATTGGGACCAACACCTCAAGGCCCTAAGGGCAGTCCTGGGAGAGTTTCAAATGGCTGGTTTGACCACTGATCCAAAGAAATGCAAATTAGTGGGGACTGAGACGGCATACCTGGGGTTTCGGGTAGGATGGGGAACAATCCGCCCCCTGGCAGACAAGGTGGAGGCCATACGGCGATTCCAGGAACCATGCAACCGTAAACAACTCTGCTCCTTCTTGGGGCTCATCAATTATTACTGGAGGTTTATACACATTTTGCAAGCCTCTGCACACCCCTCACAGAGGCGCTCAAAGGGGGACCAGCAGCGGTGCTAAAGTGGATGCCCAAAATGAGAAGGTGCTTCGAGTAACTGAAGGAGGCAATACATTGTGAAGTCGTGGTACACACTTCTGATTTTTCTGCCCCTTTTATATTGCAGGCAGACGCATCGGGCAACACCCTAGGGGCTGTGTTACTGCAAAGATGTAGGGAAGATGAGCGCCCGATCGCCTTCGCCAGCTGTAAGTTCAGCCGTGCCAAAACCAGGTATGCCACAATCGAAAGGGAGTGCCTAGCGATATGTTGGGTAATAGAACATTTTAAGTATTACCTGATGGGGCGGGAATTCCTGATGGTGACAGATCATGCCCCACTAAAATGGCTAACGAGGAAACAAAGTGAAAACACCCGTATTACTCGCTGGGCTCTGGCTCTACAACCTTTTAAGTTTACGGTAGTGCACCGCCCTGGCAAAGATAATTTTGTAGCAGATTTCATCTCTAGATGTGGCAGCCCAGGGGAGTTGGCCGAGGAGGCACGCCACACACATGAGGAGGAACATCAGGCCCTTCGGGAAGCCGTACAAGGGGTCCAGATGCCACAAGGCAACTTAAGTGGGGAGGTCTGTGGCAGTGAGAACCCCCACAGGCTTTTGAAGGGGATAGGGCAAACCCTGCCGGCCCCAAACCACACAGGCAGCACTCCCCACCCACCCCAGGAAACTTACCTCTGGGAGCAGAGCCAGAGTCGCGGCTGTGGCCGTGCAAGTCGGCGTTACGCCAGCTGTTTAATCAGCTGTTCCTGGGGCGGGGAACAGCCATCACGAGAAGATTCAAAAGACCCACCGGAACCTGGCTGGGGGAGAGAGGAGAGGGAGCATGCCAGCGGGGAACACGCCTCGCCTGGTGAATCTCCAGTGGCTGGGAGGAGCATTGTAGACAGCTCAGGGCCGGCATTAGACCGAAAAGGAGGAACCAATTCCATTAACCCCCCAGCGTCTAATTTCTAAGAGATTCATTAGAAGCGTTCCTCCCAGAGGTGAGGAGGAGGATGCCAGAAGAAAAGAAAAGAAAAAAAAGAAAACCAAAGCCTCGCTCAGCTGCAATCTAGGCTGAGATTTCAGCTGCCCTAACAGCCGGGCTGGCCCATAGGAATTTCTGCCGACGCCAGTCCCCCAGGAAAATTGGGGCTTATTGGGCACGGCTGGACAATGCAGGCTGCACCAATCGGATGGCGAGTGGACGGGGGGTAGGGAAGGCAGAGCCCCATGGAACATCGCATCAAGACTGTGAGTACTACCGTCCCTGGGGTCCTCCAGAAAGAGGATCTCCACTGAACCCCTCCCCTCATTCAATAACACCAAGACGTGGCAGAAGAGTTGAGGGGAGGGGCCCTGTACAGGACGGATGGTACAGCACCCAACGTACCCCCCACCTTAGGCGCTTCCACACAGGGGTTTTACGGTAATACAACAATATTATAAAAGATACGAGCACAAATTATTAGACCTGTGTGAAGTGGCCAGTATTTGCTTCAGATCTGGATTTGGCCGATTCGGGGGACAGATTCGGTGATTTGAATCACTGTCCCAAATCGATTTGGCCAAATCTGATTTGGAGATTCGGACACTGCTAAATTGGCTGGATCTCTGAATCAGTCCCATCTCCTGCCCACTCTCCCAGCCCTGTTAATGGCTGCTTTGCCCACCCTAGCTCCCAGCTATTAAAAAAAAAAAAAGCCCCCACTCACCAGCTGCTGCCAGGTGGGATGGCAAATCCCCACTGCCTCATGCTGCGTGGGGGGCTCTGCCATGAGCCCCCAGAAGTCCCGAGGCTGCTGCAACTGGTGAGTAGGGGCTTTTTTTTTTTTAAAGGGCTGGGTGCTGGGGCAGGGGGGGCAGCCATGAGGAGCTGAAAGAGTGGGCAGGTGATGGGAAGCTCATGGCAGAACCCCCCATGCAGCGTGGGGCAGTGGGGATTGCCCCCCTGCCTGGCAGCAGCTGGTGAGTGGGGGCTTTTTTTAAAGAGCCAGGAGTTGGGGCCGGGTAAGGTTCAGGGGGCACTCAGGGGAGCTGTGGGAGCAGGCAGGGGATGGGGCCTGGCAGGGGTATCCCCATGGCTCCCTCCTCCCTTGTACAGTCCCCGCCCCCAACTTACTGGCATGAAGTCTGGGTCCAGCTCCCTGCTGTAGCAAGCGGGGACTGCCTGAATCACTGAAGCTCTCCAAATATTTTCCGAATTGATTCGGAGAGCTTCAGATCAATTCAGACCTTTTCATTGGTCTCCTTATTCAATTCAGATTCAGAGATTTGGCCACCGAATCTTGCCGAATCTCCTCTGAATTGAATCGAATCAGCACCCGAAGCTTCGCACAGCCCTACAAATCCATTGCTTTATGCTCTTACTTTCCTTTTAGATGGTTTTCACATCTGTACCTACTCTTTGCACCACTGCTGCCAACCCTGTTTGTACTATGTCAGAAAAGGGCATCCCCTCTTCTGGGGTCTGAACCTTCCCTCCTCCACCCATACAGGGGACTGTGGTAGTATCTTAGGGAGCACAAGCCTCTGACCAATAAGGACACAGTGTATGATCAAAAGATCAGTGTACAGTGATTACAAATGCACTTGATCTTGGCAGTAACATCCTGCATGAGGCCTAGTACACTACAGCTATGTAAATACATCCAAATGATACACACTTTTAGTGCTTTACCTTCCCCTCTCTATTTTGCCACTAATGTAGTCATTTCCTCCATTGAAACTATATTTGATTACTCTTTCAGTCTTTATCAATAAGCTCCTGAACTGTTAGATTTTCACTGCTGTGTATTATGTTTCTTGATGCTAATAGACACACTGGGATCCATTTCCTGATGCTCACTGGAAGACTGAATAATCAATCTACAGTAGTGTATAGCACACACTATGCTGTACCTGGTTTCCCGTGATCAAAGACCTAAAGAAGACTGTCTTGCATTCAAAAGCTTGTCTAACTTCATCCTAACCACATAGTTGATCCAATAAAAGGTACCACCCTAAGAATCAATCTGTTAATTCTAGTGTAAGAGTGATACTGTGGCCATGCTGGTCCAGTGAAGCAAGAATTTCTTAGGGTGATATCTTTTATTAGACCAACTATGTACTTGGGATAAAATTAGGCAAGTTTTTTAATGCAAGACATTCTTTGCCCTGGAGTAGGTTAGGTGAAGAAGATGGTTTTTCAGATTTTCTGAAGTTCTCCTACAGAGTTGTGTTGCATATATGAAATTGTGCATGTTGTGCATGCAGGAGAACTTCAGAAAAACTGAGAAACTATCTTCTACACCAAAGCTACTCCATAAGCCTGTGCAAGAACCATATCATCTATAACCCTCTAGCTAACATGCACAACTCCAGATGTGCAACACAACTGTGCAGGAGAACTTTGGAAAAACTGAGAAATCATCTTCTTCACCTAACCTACTCCAAGATAAAGAATGCCTTGCATTTGAAAGCTTGACTTATTTTTCACAACTACATAGTAGGCAACCATGGATACTTCTGGATCATAGTGTATGAGTGAAAGGTCACCAGGACCATCAATGCATATGTCTAGGCAGGAGTATAAAGGAGCAGTGGCTGGCTGCCTATGCCTTCCATCCCTCCTTTAAACCACTGAAACAGAATCCAAAGGCCAGACATTCAATGGCCATAGTTATATGTGTGTCTAGGAATCAAACCCAGGTCCCCTGCATAGCAGAAAAGGCATTTACCACTGAACCACATATATCACCCTAAGAAACTCTTGCCTCTCTATTAATTCTAATGCTCAGACTTTGAAAATCAGATTTTTAAATTCAGAACTATGGAAAGCCCTTTGCATTTATTGCTCCAATATATATTTGTATTCAGCAAGAATGGAAAAAAGTAAGGGAACAAATTAGCTAATGGTTGGCAGCACCTCCAGCTTTTACTATGTGGACTGCTAAATGTGCTTTCTGTAGTGACACTCAGTGTACAGTGAAATCTGTGAGTATCACTCAGTCACTATCCAACAGTAGATGGTGCTAAAGATTCATATATAAAGAACAATTTGCTTAAAAATATAGTTTCAATAAGCAATGATGGCCACAGTTACACTTAACAGCAGCTCTGCAAACAAAATATTTGGCTAAAGTGGCTTGTTATTTACATTGTCACAAATAATTAGGTTTACATGACTCGTAATGAATTACTGATCAGCTGCCAGGTTCCCCAGAGAGTAAAATCAAGCAAGTAATCCTGAAATCTAGGTCCAATACAAGAACATAGGAATTGTCAGACTTGATCCAATCCAAGATCCAGCGAGTAGAGTATCCTTCCTTTGCCACTCACCAGTACTGCAGAGGTAGGGATGGAAATCCTAAAGCAGTAGGGAATAATCTACCCCAATCATTAGGTCTCATCTTGATGTTTACACCCTGAATCCTGAGCTTAAATGTCCAAAACAACATTTTATTCTGAAATTGAAATATGACACGTTCTTGTTAGCCATATAAATATTCAAACCATTTTGACACCCCGAGCACAAATTCTGGATGTAAGATTTTTATAGAAAAAAACTACTAAAAAATCTGGACTCAGAAAATATTACTTATATGAAAGAACCAAAAATGTACTATTTCTCCTCTTAGTATTTTGGCTGTCCTTCTTTCCTGGTTCCTGAATTCGTTTATCATTGGTCCCATGCTATGGCAAAACTTAATTTGACCCAAAATGCAACATATTGTGGGTCTACACATGTGCATGTGCTTTAATACACATTAGCCTATTTTAATGTGCATTAAAGCGTCACAGAAAACCCATGCTCTTTAGCTAATGCACATTAAAATAGGCTAATGTGCATTTTTCTAGTACCTCACAATGGAGGTACTTGATTTAATGTGCATTACCTAAAGCATATTAATGAATATGTAGACTTGCCCAATTGATATATAATGCACAGAGATTGCTTAAAGATGTAGATGCTTCTCCAATCACATAACATCGCATGAAATCTGCAACTCACTGTGTGCATCTACACATGCAAATGCTATAGGGTGGGTTTACTCTATATTAATTTACTTTAGAGTAAACCCACCCACAGGCAGGCATCTACACATTCAGGGAAGTGGAAGCAGATTTGCTGCTCATGGCAGTAATGTGCTCCCATCCCAGCCAGCCCTGCACCAGCCCCCTGCCACTGCCAGGGGGAGCTGGAGGCTCCAGCTACAGCTACCTGTG